ACCAACTGGTCTTCTGATTCTCCCACATCATTTCGCGCTATCAGTTGGTAAAACTCTGTGGAATAAGCATCTACAGATCGATTGCCTTGTCTCAAATTCTGTAAGCGTTGATACAAAGTCCTGGAATAATTAAAGGGAAGAAACGCTGCCTACAACTGTGTCTTCATTTTTTCCCACGACTGGATTTTAGCCTTACCCTGACGGATCCGATTTTGCTTCAGTTGTTGCCACCATGCAGCAGCACGACCACGCAGACGGGTCGCCACCAAAGGTACCCTTTTATTGTCGGGCACTTCTTTGTAATCCAAGATCTCCTCTACTGCCGCCATCCAATCGAGGAATTTATCTGCCTCAATTCCACCGTGAAATTCAGGTATATCAACCTTGAATCCGGATTCCCATCGCTGAAACACGTCCTGCTGTTGAACACGAGGTTGTTGAACAGGATCGTCACGTGCCTCTGACAAGGTCTCCTCATCCGACCTCTCCCCTAATTCAGATCTACCTCCACCATCACTCACTGGGGCACGACGTGGAGGAGCAGGAGGTGTTCCGTTCTACACAACCTCTGCCGCCCACATCATGAATTGATCAAATCGGATTGTCAATGCCTCAACTTGATTACGCAGATCTGCAACTTCATCAATCTGGCCACCACGACCACCACGTCCTCTCCCACGCACCATGCTCTGATACCAAAATGATGTAGATTGAATCTACAAACACACGACAACAATAACCAAACGGATTGAATTCAGAAACAAACTTTTATTATTTCGTGAAGAACCAAAAAAACCCTATGAGGCGTCTTGCAGTGTCTTAAATATGAAAAAAAAATAACCTACTGGCCAGCAGTCCCAAAATGGGCTGGGCTACAAAATGAAAATAACAAATGCTGAAAATAAATAACACAAAACTTAAAATGTTGTTTTGACACACTAAACGACTTCAAATGCCCAAAAACCCTCGTACGTCACGGCAAAGCGGTGATTTCAATCCGAAACGCTCGCACCTTTCTGAAATGGGGTTATGGGCCCAAAACGGACACCAAACGCAAAAGTTACATCAATTTCTTTGAAAGTCGACCATCCAACCGTTTCATTTATGTCAATACCTGTTCCTCCACATAAACCTCATCAGCTGGATTGTGTCATTAGGTTTGTCACATTTTAATCTCTCGTTGCCTTCCACGTGTTTTACGTCAAACACATTAGCATTAACAGCGACGAAATTTGGTCAGTGATGAATGGAGTGCAAAGATTAAAAGTTCAATGATCGTTTGAAAGCATTTTGAAGTTCAATAATTTAATCATTCCCATGCCCAAAAGTTGAGATATTATTGAAACATTTTTCACGAGAGTTGGGGGTGAAGAGAATATGTCAACATAATCACCAATCAATCAAATCTTTTACTTTTCTTTTTGACATTCGGTGTTTGGGCACTAATAGTAGAAGATCTTCATAAAATCTGGTAAGGTCACTATTGTCAATGGCTGAGATCTAGTGTTGAAATAAGGAGGCCAACAATGACCGTCGATAATGCCTTACTGACATAAATATACAAACACAGATATATTTTTCGAAATCTTTTAATACAATGTTATGTTTTCAATGATTATGTTATAATGTGGTCCTTTTTCTATTGTACGCTGCGCGTGCGTATGAACAGAGAATATGGTACGTAAGATTATCTTCTCTGGGACCAGACAAAATGGCACTCGTCACGCGTTAGAATAATTTTGTTTGTACCACTTTCCAAAACTTTAGAGACACATTTCGTTGGATCCATTATTTATTTATGACAAGGAGATTATAATGAAATTCAAACACACTCAAATCTTTAAAAAAACCAATGAGTTGGTCTCTAATATTTTATTAGCCCTTGTTTGACTCCCATTATAAAGAGAAATTTTGGTAAAATATATTATCGAATAGTATTTTTTTAGAAGAATGTATGATTAAAAAAAATTGATTTACATATAATATTATTTTATTGAAAATGTGTGGTTAAAAAAAAAATAAAGAAAAATATATTAAAATTTTAAAGAGTGTCAAACAAGAGCTTAATTGGCAATCGATTCTTTGATAATATAAAGTGAATAATTTTTTAAAATCACTGTTTAACTTAGTAAAGTTGGAATTTGAAGTGAAAATTTAATGAATTTTAGAAGTTTGACACCTATTTTTAAAGAAAAATGAATTTTGAAACAGTAGATTGATGGAAAATGTGTGGATAAACAGTTTTTTTATTTACGTGTAACATTATTTTAATGAAGAATGTGTTGTTGAAAAAAAGAAAAAAATATATACATTTTGAGAAAAATAGAAATCAAACGTTAAGCGCATCTTGTGTAAGGATTTACTTCGCTCCTATTTGATATGAATTAAATTTAATTTTAATTTAAGTTAAATTTTTTACAATTTTTTAATCATGTATTTTATTAATTTTTATCAAAATTTATTAAAAACTTAATTTTAATTCTCACTAAACAAGAGTTTGTTAATATTATTTTAAAGTTTGAAGATCAATTTGAGTGGGGTGTAATTTTCTCTAAAATAGTTTTAAAATTCAATAATCAATAAAACTCAAAAGTGTAAAAGGCCTCCGGACCCACAACCATATCTCAAAAGCCGATCGCAGTGGATTCTCTGCTCCTTTACACCCATCAATTTCATCAAAAGTACTAAAAATAGATTAGATTTCTCAACAACTTCAAGCGCTTGTTTGATTTGCATTAAAATTTGATTTTAATTTAAGTTAAGATCAAATAAATAAAACAAATCTTTCATAGATCTCTCAATATTTCAAAAATTTCTATCACAATTTACTAAAAAATATAATTTTAATCCCACCAAAGCATTTAAGAGAAAAGAGCCAATTTTTCCCGAGGGAAATTAAATCACGTATTTGTGAAAGTTGTCAGGATAAGTAAATGGAAGAATATTAATTCAAATTTCACGTGGATTAAATTAACAAGCAATTAATATTTCACCGTTGAAATTCCAATAATTTTTTTAAATTAAAAAATAAGATGTAATGTTCAAATTTAATAAAATATTGAAGTAGGGACGGCAATTAAACTCGTCGTTTCGGGCCGCCCATGATTCGGCTCTAAAAAAGTCCAAGCCGGTCCCACTCGAGGCTCGGACAAAGCCCCATTTCGAGGAGTCGGCTTAAGCGGGGCCGACCCATAAAATAAGAAAAGTAAAGAAAAAATCAGCTGCCTCAAGAGAAAAAGAAAATTTCAGAAAATTGAGTTGGCTCGGCTCAGCTCGGTAAGGCCTGAGCCGAAAGTTCGGATCGAGCCTTAATTTTTGGCGAAGTTTTGCTCAGCTCGACTGGGATAAAAAAAACCCTAATCGAAATCTCAGATCGACTCGTTGACACCACTATATTTAACACATTCTACTATTAAAACTGGAACATGTGGAGAAATGAAGAAAAAAAAAATCAATAATTAAGTTGCTCTGTTTAAAAAGAGTGTGATATTTACTAATATTGAGAGGGGTCAACGGTGCAATCCACGAGAAGATCTTTAGCAATCAAAACTGCATGGATTTTCTGAAAATAAGGGAAAAAGTTTAACCTGGATCAGACACGCTTAACAGTTTGATTTGATAGGACCTAACAAAAAAGTCGCACTTCCACTGTCTTGCAAAAGCGCACATATACACAACTTCCGATATTCTTTATTGAAAATAGACAAAATGAGCGCACGTTTAGGTTTACATAAAAGGGAAATGCTCAGTAAATAATACGGTGTCCATAATTAAATTCATCTCACTTACATGAAGAGAGATTCACTTTTTTTTTTTTTTTTTTTTAACGAGGTGTCCCAACTTGCGCCAGACTATATCCTCGTCCCTGAACCTCCGACCCCTCAGCAGCTCAGGGAGGTAAATCGCGAGATGTGCCCTTGTTGGTTCCCAGGTTCCCACACGACTTTTACTCCTACCCCAAAGGGAGCCTCTTCACTGCCTTACAGCAACTTGCCTTCCAAGATAAATCTTGCCTTTCAAGTTGTACTTTCTAGGAATCGAACTCCCCACATTTAGTTCCAAAGCCCCTCAATGTGATTGTTCTGCCAATTTGAATGTGCACCAGGGGGCGATTCACTTTCAATAATATATATGGGAGGGATAGACACCCTCATGTAAGTATAACATCACCATATATAAAAATCATATTTTTAATAATTTTTGATAATAAAATGTGTAATTGAAACGTTCTGAATTTTATCAAATATATGGGGCTTGTTTGGGTGCAATTTTTTCTACAAAAAAATTGATTTTTTTATCGTTTTTGACTATTTCAGCCGTTATATTTGACTTCTTCTCTCACAAGTGGACCCCACTTTTCTCCTTACAGTTAAAAAATTAATTCTCAAAATCACTTCCAAACAGACTTATGGTTAAAATCAATTGTTGACTTTCACTTATATTTTAATCAATTTTTTCTATTGAACCAATCATGGGCAAACTTTTTAAGGACGATTTTGATTAAGTTTTTTCAATAAATAGTACTAAAAATCACAGTTAGTCCTAATAAAGTTCACCTTCAACCTCTTAGTCCTTACTCATACTCGATGCACCATATTGACATATCCAATTAATCAAAACCACGAAAGTTGTACAATTTTACAAAAGTGCACTAAAAGTTACGTTAGTAAGATGATCACAATCCTTCTTTTCAGTTGTATGGCCATTTTTAATACTTAGGGTCGGTTTGATTGCAAAAATATAATTAAATTGAATTGAAAACGAATTTCAGGAAATTAAATTGCTTAAAAATTATTTTCCTGAGAATTGTAAATTATTGTGTTTAATTGGTATAATTTTTCACGTGGAAAATGTTGAAATAAAAGTGTTTTTTAGTGTTCGTTTGACTTTGTTTTACATGAAAATTGTCAATTAAAAAAATAGATTTTACTGATATTGGGAATGAAATTTATTTTCATTGTCAAAAAAAAATTCAAGAAAATCATCTATCTTTTGGTAGTTCCATTACGTAAACCAGGAAAGTTGCCAGGTATAAATAAAGATTTTTTTTTTTTTGGTTCTATCAGATTAATTAATACGCTTTTTGCTTAAATAATAACTTAATGTCAGATTATTTGTTAGAAATTGATTATTCAGGCTTCTGTGATAGAGTAAAGAATGTAGAAAATTCACTATATCCCATTGAACTGTATGAGAGTACTGATGCATGATGAAATGGTATACCGCTTCAGATAGTTTACAAAGCACGAAATATATTCGCTGTTGCCGATGAAATGGAAACAAATGAATTTTATATTTTGGATAATTTAAACTGTTAGACGAGGGTTCAATAATAAAACTTAAATCCAGCCTACGTAGGAAGGAAAAAAATGATTTGGTTCCCTCTGCTTCAAGCCTCTCAATTCCACGCTAAAGCATGGTTTTAGATTTGAATTTTTCCCATAAATTTATACCATATGTGGCAAGTCGACTATTATTAGCTATTTATAATAGGGTAGACTTCATTTTATTTAATAAAAAAAAATTGTATTATTTTCATTTTTCGCGGATTAAAAAAATATAATTAATATAACTGAAAATATAATTTTTTCTTATATTTTTCTAATATACTCATATATTAAATAATTGTTTAAATATGAGTAGTTCATATAACAAGACACGTTAGGTAAGGTTATACTAGAAAAATTAAAAAATTAACTATACTTTCAATAAGAAATGCGACCTATAAATTGGAAAAAGCAAATAAGAAAAATAAGTCTATCGTTATTGGACAAAAGGACTACTAATTTGTTATATTGTTCAATCTTATTTTGCCCCTCCTTGATCGGACTTAAAATTATATTATTAATAGATTTTTTTAAAAATTGATGAATTATGCGAATAAAAATTTAATCCTCCCCAAAAAAGGGGCTTAATATCAAGTGCAAACACGGACTTCTAGAAGAATATTAACGTGCAGGAAAAGTAATACACGAAGTTTACGAGCTGGAATATGGTGAAGATTGTCTAGAAATGCACCTTGGTGCTGTACAGCAGGGTGAAAAAGCTGTGGTAATTGATGATGTGGTGGCTACTGGTGGGACCCTTTCTGCTGCTATTAAACTTTTAGGTACGCTACGTTGAATTTTTTTAACAAGCTGTCAAGTTCGATGTACAACCTTCTCATAAAAGAAGGGAGTCAATATCTAATAAAAAAATCACGGACCCTCCTCACAAGAGGGGGATAAGAGTAGCAAAACCCAATTTTTATGAGGTGTTTGTCAAATATTTTTAACTTCATTTTATTAATAAATTAAAAAAATATATGTCGAATGATACTTTCAGAAAGAATGGGGGCCGAAGTAGTTGAGTGCGCCTGTGTCATTGGGCTGCCTGACCTAAAGGTAATGCTCAAAATCAATTAATTTATTTTCTTCGAGCCGGCCGGCTTTGGCCAACACAGATAAACTTTTCTTTGGTTTTTCCAGGGTAAAGGCCGGTTAAACGGGAAGCCACTTTACCTACTAGTGGAGCCACGTTTCAGCCTTGTAGAAGAGTAGGTTCAAGAAGAGCATTTCACTACTGTTTTTAAATGTAACAAAGAAGTTCGATTTACAGTTGCATCTCAATTCTGGGAAATTTTCTTATTAGTTCTGATCTGATGTAGGTGCACAAATTCACAAATATGCAAAAATGTATGCAAGTTAGGGGATGGTGGAGATCATAGGCCTTAACTATGCTTCACCTGAATGTGGGAGTTCACCTAATTCTTCTTCAAGATTGGCATTGAAATGTACTATGCTCCTAATTTCTTTTCATATTGATAAAACGTACAAACAAAAAGAGCACAAGATTCAATCGAAAAAGACATCTCGTTCTTATTATAGCGTTGATTGGATTTATAAATAGCTTGTTCAATCCCTATTTGGACGGATGCTAAATTTTTTAGTGCAATTTCTCTTTTTCTTTTTCAACAAAAGCGAATCAAAAATTAAGACAAGGGGGAAATATATTGATTTTGAAAGTTAGTAAGAAGAATGGATTAATATTCAAGAAGATTACTTGATACAAACCAATATAAAAGTATCTAAACTGTATATGAACACATTACACTGAATCTAATACATACTATTAACAGACTGCTTCAATCTCGTAAACTAGGTAAGAACTATCTGTCGAGTTATAGACTTAAACATCGTTATGATGAGGTTCAAATGATTAGGCAATATAATCAACAAAATTAAACAAAGACTGAAAGAAAAACATGAACTATAAAAATGAACTTCAATAAACTTTTGTCCCAAGACAATAAAACCATAAACCCTTCAAGCTTCCAAAGAAACCATTGTATGAAAACAAAGCCAAATTGTCCAAGGAATACAGATCTGGGCACTCACACAATAATCACTCAAGATCACAGAGGATCAACCTTTCGACCACTACAAACGTTCATTCAAAAACATTAAAACGCTTCTCAATATACAGATCAATCAAGAAATGCATTGCATTGAGAGAGTAAGCAAGAAAGACTTTTAGATTTTAAAAAGAGAAAATGAGACGAAGAACTCAAAAGGCAGAGAGAGAAAAATGAGATATATCCCCGTTCAAACACTAGGAATGAGGCATACATGGAAGTAACTAGAAGGTTGGCCAGTCCAATGGTAAGTGGGATTGACATTTGGCAAGATCTCGAGCCTTCAATTCCATAAGGGAAAAAACGTATTTCACAAAAACAAGTTTTTGCAAAACTAAATCAGCTGGCCCTTTAATAGTAAAAAAATTAGCCAAGTCAAAATTTATCCAATCAGCATTAATTTTGCATCATTGTGCCACATTTTACGATCTTCATCTTGGTACAATGATCCAGTTTCTAACTATAGTGGTTATTCCCAATCATGACATCCTTAGCTCCCTTGGCAGATACTCAAATCAACAAGTATTGAAGTTCAACAAAGTTAAATAATCTAAAAACTTGTTTAATGACAGCATCTTAGTACCTACATCAGCACAGTTATAATAAGTAGAAATCTTTTCAAGTTTCACAACTTCTTGTGAAATAACATTTCTTATGAAATGAAATCTAATATCAACATGTTTAGATCTATTATGTAACACATGATTTTATTTAAATGACGGTAGATTGGCAATTAGAATATAAAACAACATCTTTGATAAAGCCAAATTTATTTAGAAGGTCTTTTAACCAAATCCCTGTTCTTATAGCATCTATAACAGTCATGTATTCTACCTCATAGATGATAAAGCAACAATCTTTTGGAACTGGGTTATACAAGAATTACATAAAGTACATATATAGGCAAGGGTAGACTTCCTATTAGCTCTATCACATGCATAGTTTAAATAAATGTATTCTCTCAAGATAACACCATTATATTGTTTTCTATATTGAATTCCAAAATCACAAGTTCCCTTAATGTGCCTAAGAAATCATTTCATAGCTTTCCAATGAACTTCTCCATGATTGGACATGTATCTACTCAATACACTTATTAAGTATGCCAAATCAGGTCTAGAGCAAATCATTAGATATATGACAAACCCAACTATATTAGAATATGTCACTCTTTCCATTCTCCTAAACTCTCCTTTCAGATTTAGGACATTGTCTATTTGAAAGTTTGAAATTATTTGTTAAGGGTAAACTCACACTTTTACAATCAGACATAGAAATCTTTCCCAGCAATTTCAAACCATAAGATTGTTGGCAGAGAATTAGTGTGCCTTCTCTTTTATTTATTTTAATTTCAATATCTAGAATCTTTCTAATAGGATCTAAGTCTTTCATTTCAAATTCAGATTTCAACTTATTTTTGATTAATTCTATCTCATTTATGTCATGATTGGCTAGAAGCATATTATCAACATACATGAGTAGATAAAGTGAATTTTCACCTCTACTTCCTTTTGTAATAAAGATAAGTATAAAAATTGCTTCTTTAAAAATCAAGTACAAGCACAAAAGTATCAAATCTCTTGTATCATCGTCTTGGAGCTTATTTTAAGCCATATAAAGATTTTTTAGGAAAGTGTACTAGGTCGGAATTTTTATTTACTTCAAACCCTTGGGTTGTTCCATGTAAATAGTTTCATCGAGATCACCATTTAAAAAAGTAGTTTTTACGTCCAGTTGATCTAAATCCCAGTTAAATTGTGCTGCTAAGGCTAGAAATACTTTAAAAACCGGAAAAAAAGATTTCATTGAAATATATCCCCTCCTTTTAAGTAAAGCATTTAGCCATAAGTCTAGCTTTATATCTAATATCATTATCATTTTGTTCTCTTTTTTCAATTTTAAAGATCCATTTACAGTCAACAACCCTTTTTCTTTTAGGTCTTTTAGTCAGAATCTATGTTTTATTCTTCTTAAGGATTTCTGTTAGGTCTGAAAGTGTAATTGGCAATTTTGTGGACAAAACGGACTAAACTGTATAATTGTAAAAGTCAGGGACTTAGGGTGCAATTTGTATAGATGAGGTAAATTAGTGTTCGGGTCGTTGAAGGAGTCCAATATGTCCAAGAAGATCACACAAGATCATCGGAATGCAATTGGAAGTCTAAAGGATATCTGCCAAGCGAAAAAAATAGAATACCTCTCGCTCAATTCTCGTTGGCTCTCGCTCGAGTGACACTCCTATGCGAAAAAACCCTATTTCGTGTTTTTGAAGTATTTTACTCGGCCCATATCACCTAGACATCTTCAAATATAAATACTCAAACCCTAGGATGAAATTGAAGATGTTGCTACATCATACTTTCATTGCAAAAGATATTCATAACATCTTTGAAGAGATCCAATGTGCAATTAATTGGAGATTTCATCTACATCAATCTTGTGATCCGACAATCATTGTTTTGGGTAAAAACATTGAATCTACATAACCCAAAACACCTTACTTCCTTAATCTATTGAGGAAGTGACTCTCTCATTGGAGGATTGAGAGAGATGGATTGAGGCACAGTTACAAGCACAAGAACGGACGGTTATTGGTGTTCCACTTGGTAATACAATCAGCTAAGGACCAGGAGGTTGTAGTGGACAGCAGATTGGGCTGCAGAAGGTAGATTAGCAAGTCTAGCAAGAGGATAGAAGTATCTACAGCAGTAGATCGTGAGACTGGAACAGTGGGTTTGATTGGGTACGGAGTTTGGTATAACTTGTACTTGCTGAATTGGTATAGTGGAGGTAACTGGCTTGGTCCCAGAGTCTTACCCACATTGGGGTTTTTCCGTCATCATATTTTTTGTTATTTACTGCTTTGCATAATATACAAACTGTGGCATTCCAACATAGGTTAATTGACTTGTAAGATTAATCACCTAGACAACTAATTAAAGTGACTTGTTACTTTAGTTAGATTAATTCCGCACGTAAGGTCAAATTAGTTAAAGTGAAATCTAGAACGTAAATTTGGTAATGCATAAAATTTGAACTTAATACTATATCACATTAGTCGAACTTTCTAGCATATCTAAACATTCTAAGTCAATTTTTTTTTCAATTTCATTTCATCTTGCGTTGCTATAGGCCAATGATTGGAATCCTTGCTATTCATAGCCTCTTTAAAAGACTTGGGCTCATTTTCAATCAAGCTTTGAATGGTAATAAGTGAAACTTCATCATCAAACCTAACAAGAGGCTTTATCTGTCTTCTTTCTCTATCTCTAATAGGTTGGTAACCATTCAAAGGTGATTTACTTCCAAATCAGACTTAGATTCATGTTTAGAATCAACATCACTGTGAGTTTGAACATTTTCATTATCAATCTGAACATCAGGTTGTTGAAGTTCATTATCAACTTGCTCCACCTCAATTTCAGTCTCTCTATCTACATTATTAGTCTAACTTAGAGGTTCTGGGTTTAGATCATTTTTTCAAAGAAGGAAAATCATTTTCATTGAACATAATATTTCTACTTATAATGATTTTATAACCTTTGGTTTCCTTTACCCACAGTGTATAACCTTAACCCCGTCACCATAGCCCCAAAAAACATACTTAAGGGCTCTTGGTTCCAATTTGCCTTCAGACTGATGTGCAAAGCCTGCACATCTAAAAACTCTCAAGTTACTGAGCTCTATAGGTTTTCATTCATCATTTCTTCGGGAGTTTTAAAATGTATAGCACTAGCAGATTTGTATTTATTAGATACTAGCAGTTTTTGCAACTTCCCCCCAAAATAGCTTGGGAAGACCATAAATTAAAAGCACGCATCTTATTTTTTCGAGACCTGTTCTATTCATTCTTTTAGCCAAGCAATTTTGTTGTGGAGTGTGTGTTAAAATTCTTTGTCTCAATATACCATACAATTTGCACAACTCATCAAATTTAGAACTCCAAAATCCTAAACCATTATCAATTCTTAAAACTTTAATCTTTTGTCAGTTTGATTTTCAATTAGAGTTTTTCATTCTTTGAAATTATTGAAAGTTTCAAACTTTAATCTAAGAAAAGAAATCCAATTTTTTTGGGAAAATTCATCAATGATAATAAGGAAGTGTATAAAACCAGTGTGAATTGGCATAGAGGTTGGTTCCCAAATATCAGCATGTAAATATTCAAGTATTGATATAGATTTATGCATTCCAAGTAAAAATGGTAACATCTTATACTTTCCTCGGATGCAATAGTTACAAAAACTGAGTTTTTCAATATTATCTTTTCCAAAGACACCTTATTTTTTCAAAATCTGTAACACTTTGTCACTAATATGGCTCAATCTTTTGTGTCATACTCGTGACTTATCATTTTAAATTGAAATTGCTGCTGAAGTAGAATGAAACTGGTTTGGGTTTGCAAAATGTAAAGACCATGTCTCTTGGGGGTTTCAACAATCAATTGTGAATCCCTCAAAATTTTAATGTAT